TAACAAGTGTAATATCCACTAAAGCAAAGCTTAAGTATATAACACCAACAGTCTTAAGGTCGGCATCCTTTGTATTGTTTGAAGTGCTTACATGTGGGCTTTGGGGATATCGTCCATTTCATGACTTGATTTAATGGGCTTAATTCAGTGCGGTAAATTTTGAGCATAAACATAAGGTTCCCAAGTTCCTATGATCAGACAAGGTACTTTGGCTAATTGTAAATAGTTATTAGAGGATGCTCTTGTTGAGGGCGTGGAATGGTGGGAGGCGTTAGTGAACTTGGGCGTCGATGAATGGGGCAACATATGGTTGGTAGTGAAGAGGTGGTAGATAGCTGACTCAATTATCCACAGTCAGAGATTTCATGATTAGCCTGAAGGATTGCGAGGCACTACGTCGATGATTTTTGGCAGAGGAAGGGGTGTTGGAGGCGCAGAGGGCCAAAGAAAATGATGTTGTGGAGAATGAGTCGATGACTGATGCCAGGGAAACGGAGGGCTTCTTGGTGGACATGGAGGTCGATGGGGTCCATCACAAACGATTGTGTTTACCTAAATGGACCTAGAGTAAACACTTTTTTTATTTAACTTTATTATAATATTTTTGTGTAAATATCGTGTTAAAACATTTATTTAAACAATCATTTTGGAGGAACAAGATTGAGTGCACCTTTTAGGGGATTACGTTGATCGACTTTTGAAAATTAAAGGTCAATATGGAAATGAGCGTCAACCACCGGTGTTGATTATTCATCTTCAATGAACTAAGCCATGAGGGTATTTTTATTAATATATATCAAGTCATACATATATTCTTACTAATCAAAAGAACTTGAAATATTAATTTCCAGGGATGATGGTTTGTCTATAAAGCAAAGAAAAAATTATTTTAATGTTCTTATTATTTTATTTAATAATTTATTTTTTTATTCACGTAGATATAAAAAAGACTTAGCAAACAACTTTATGAAGTTCAAGCAATTTGCCCAGGGGAAACTGCCCCTTGCTGGTACATTTTTGTATATGTGAGTACCTCTAAAATAATCAGGGAAGTTCAATGGAGATTTTTGGAGTCAGCTAAAATGAAATGGGGAAATTCCTGGGTGCTAGGAGGAGACTGGAACACTATTTTGACAAACTCTGATAAAAAATGTGGGAGATTGAAATCAGATCAGAACTCAGAGGATTCCAGACATTTGTGGCCAATATGAGAATGCTCGAATTAGACATGGAGGGCTATAACTACACCTGGGAGAATTGCAGGGCTGATAGTGATCATATAGAAGAGAAAATCGACAGAGTATTTTGCTCTTATGAATGGTTCTCAAATCACAGTGAAGCAATTGTTCTTAATTCATTCAGAAGTGCCTCAGACCACCATTTGTTAACTCTTCTAAATCATGGAATTAGAGACAAGCCAAAGAAAAGGAGATTCTACTTCGACAAAAGATGGGCCAAAGTTGAGGGAGTAGCTGAGGTTATCAAGGAAGCTTGGGAAAGAAACCAAAGTGGAACTCCTATGTTCCAAATCTCTGAAAAAATTAAGCAGACAAGGATAGCACTCCTTAAATGGAGCAGTAAATTCAGAGCAAAAAACTTTCAACTGAGAGAGCAGCTATCCAAAGAGCTGGAGAAACTGAGAGAACAAGGGGTAAAGAGGGATTGGTCAGTCTGGACAGCCCTCAAAGCAAAGCTAGATGTTGAACATAAAAAAGAGGAGGCTTACTGGAGCCAAAAGGCCAGAACAAAATGGTTGCAAGATGGGAATGCTAATACAAAATACTTTCATGCAGTCACTATGCAAAGGAGGAAAATGAACACTATTACTAAACTGAAAACTTGAGAGGGACAGATTCTAGAATCCAAGGAAGAAATTAAAAAACACCTGGAAGCATTTTATGGTCACATTTACTCCTCAGAAGGCTCCCATGAAGATGCAGACATCTTGGCATTATTTCCTCCTGCAATCACAGAAGACATGAATAAAGAATTAGTAGCCCCAATTACATAAGAAGATATCAAAGAGTTACTATTCAGTATGGATCCTCATAAGGCCCCAGGTCAAGACGGTATGTCCCTTTCTTTTTCCAGCAATATTGGAACATTATAAAATCAGATCTTATAGCTGCTATTCTCAGTTTCTTTGAATCTTATCAAATGCTTAAAAGTTGGAACCATACAGTTATCACTCTAGTGCCTAAATGCCTTAACCCTGACTCTCTTGGAAAATTCAGGCCTATTAGCCTCTGTGCAGTATCATATAAAATCATATCAAAAATCATTTCCAGCAGACTTAAAGCTTGTTTGGCTCATTGCATTAGCATTAATCAATCAGCTTTCATTCAAGGTAGACAATTACTTGATAATGTTATCATTGCGCAAGAGGCTATACATTTCATTAACAGGCATAGGTCGGGTAAAAAATGTTATATGGCAGTGAAGTTAGATATGGAGACAGCATTTGATAGAGTGGAGTGGAGTTGCATTCAAAAAATTCTGTCTAAGCTAGGATTCCATAAAACTTTTGTTAGATGGGTCTTAGCTTGTATTTCTTCTCCATCATACTCTTTTAATTTTAATGGTGAGCTGATTGGATATGTGCAAGCAACCAGAGGAATAAGGCAGGGGGACCCTCTTTCCCCCTACCTTTTTATTTTGGTTTCTGAAGTGTTCTCCAGGATTTTGAAAGCTGAAGAAGCTAGAGGATCCCTCACAACCATGAAAATCTCAAGAGTTGGACCCTCATTCTCTCACCTCCTATTTGCAGATGATGCAATGGTTTTTTGCTCTGCCTCAATTGACCAGGCTCAAACTCTTATGGATGTGTTACACAAGTATCAAAGGTTCACAGGCCAACGGGTTAATCTCCACAAATCATCGGTTTTCTTCAGCAAAAACACTCCAACCCATCTTCAGTTGGGAGTTTGCAGAATATTAAATGGGATCAACAAGCATAATTCGAGTAGATACTTGGGGCTGCCGCTTGGAATTGGAAGATCTAAAAAAGAATGCTTTAGTTATGTGGTGGATGCAGTCAGATCAAGATTGGTAAGCTGGAAAAACCGATTTTTGTCAGATGCAGGGAAAAAAGTACTTTTGAAGGTTGTAATCAATGCGTTACCAATCTTCTCTATGTCCTGCTTTCTACTCCTCAAAAGCATCTGTCAGGAGATATCTAGCCTTAGCTCTGGATTTTGGTGGAGTAAGGGGGATGAACAAAGAGCTGGGCTTCATTGGAAATCATGAGCAACTATCACTATTCCAAAAATTAATGGAGGCCTAGGATTCCAAGATATTATTCTGTTCAATGAAGCTCTAATTTTAAAACAGATTTGGAGAGTAGCCACCAATCCTAACTTACTGGTTAGCAAAATCCTTAAGGGGAAATATTTTGCTAAAGGATCCATTATTAATGCAGTGCAGGACATGCCAACTTGTCCCTCATGGATTTGGCAATCTTGGATGAAGGTCTTAAAGAAGCACAACCAGGGATTCAGAAGGGAGATTAAAAATGGAGCTGCCACTAAAATTTGGATTGATCCTTGGGTGCCTAATTCCCCAACGGGCTATGTCACAGCAAAAACAGGAGTTGATTGCAGGCTTTCAAAGGTTGCTGAACTTCTAAGTGACGATGGCAGGAGATGGAACACAACATTACTTGAGGACCTTTTTGTTCCTGAAGATGTTCAAGCTATAAAA